ATTAGTGAAATGTGATAATACGATTTGGTTGAGTAATAGCTATGTATGAGATTATTGACACAAACCTCCCAAACAACAAATACCAAAAGAGGAAATAAATCCCCAGCAAATTAGGCTTTTTCTTTAGTAAAATATCCCGGCTATCTCCAAAATACTAACGCTTAGATAAATGAGTTAGTGCTATAAGTGATTGAATGACATCAATTTAGGATGTGTTGCTAATGGCTTAATCATCTCAGTCATGTTACGTTATTTTTATACTATCTGTCATAGCTAGTTTGGTCCGACTAAATATTTTCAATAAAAAGCCCTCAGTAAGTTGACCTATTTCTTTTTACATATTACGGTGACAGATACTGTGAAAAATCTCTTGATTAGCAGAGCCGAATAGTGCCTTCTGTCCAAAGAATATGGATGCAATCAAAGAGGAACACGTATTCCAGTTTATATAAACCACTGTGACATTATAACAAACAAGAGTAGCATCTATATTTGAAATTGCTGCAAATTGTGTGCAAGTTATGTTAACAATTGTCTGTATAGATCAAATTATCTCGCTTATTCTTAATAGACAAGTTGCCTACGTCATTCTCTCTAGAAAACTAATAAAATATCTTTTTATTTATGTTCACATGTTTTTAAGAAGTTCAGTTCGTCGTAATTGAGTTATCATTATGTAAAAACTATGTTCTTTGGAAGGTGATAGTTGAATTAATCAGCCTTTATGTTTGTTTTTCTATCCTTCGAAGGTTCTATATATGTGCGATATCTATTTATTCACTTGTTTTTCACTTATACTAGTCTGAATCTGATGGGCTCTCAAGATTTCAAGGGAGTTCATCTATTTCGAGTGATGATTATTTTGGTCATCCTAAAGTGCGACAGTCTCAGGTATCTAATGAATTACAAAATATCAAAGATGGTGTCAAGCAAAGTGTAACTAAAGTTGCTGGACGGCTGTCAAATCTGGCAACTGACGTAGTACACACTCTTCAAGTAAGTTCAGTTAGATAAATACTGATTATTAGATGTGTTTTGACTATTTTTTGAAAAGTATGGTCGATTGAATACTCCTCAAAGTACTGCACACATTGTTCATTAACGTTTTTGATGACAAAACTTGACGATTATACGCTAAGACTGAACCGCGTGGAATAGTTTTGAATCGTTTCTCAATATTATTCGCCGTTGCAAGTAACGCGATCGGAATAACTGATTGCTAATGAATAATCCTTTCCATCTCATAGATATTGAACCCAGTTCCAAACGAACTGTTTGGTTGTTCGATGGTAATTTTACTGAGTTGTTTAATGAAAGATACTACTCTGTTGTTCTACTACTAAAGAATGCAATAATTCTACGTATTATACATCAGTCTGTTTATTTATTCAACACAGTTTACTGTTGTGGAAATACGAATGCTTTTGAATTTTTTCCCTCAAGAAGTAATATCTACACGAGTTATTGATCTCAGTAACAGTTGTTTGTACTCTCATGATGGCTCTATATTTGTTACCTGAGGACTAATAATACCATATGATTTTTCAGGCTCGTCTCTTTGAATCACTTCCACAACTGTTGTAGAGATTAGTAAACTGGTACGTGTAACTATTTATCTAGTTGAGACCAAAATGCGACATGTTTATTAAAATTGACATTTAAACAAAACAGGCTACCTAAATCAATAAAGAAAGAATTATTTATGGCGAACAGATTTGTCATTGAATGGTTTTGGTTAGCGAGTCCGCACCAAATTATTTTGGTGATAAAGACATTGTCATATAATTTCCATCGTAAACTGATCGAGACTTCTGACCAACGAAATGATAATAGTCTGAAAGGCTTACAAATAAATGGTCAAAGTTTGGTGGTTAAATTGAATAGTAATCAAAGTAGCAGCCTGATGAGGTAAACTGTACAGTAAGACACAGCTGTCACGTCGCTCACTAACAGCCCTCAAACTACCATGGATTTCGAAAGTAGAAATGTGATAGTACTTTACTTTCTTGGACATTTCATGAAACAGTCTAGCACTTAAAAGGAGGCCAGCCAAACAAATATTTTAAGGTTGGCTACTGTCTATGATGTAATCGTTCAAGTTGATATCCACCCGTTTTAAGAGCTTTTGACCCAAAGTCCCTTTCATTGGTTATTCCAACCTTGGTATGTGAAGCAACTTTTGAAGCAGTAATCCACTTTCTGTCAGATTACCAATTCATTGCTTCCCAATTGATGCCGAGTGTTTGTTTTTATCATTCCTCTTTTACAAGCACATATTTTATTATCGCTTAAAATTTGTATATTTACATTTGGGTGTATTTTTTCAGGATCGATTCGGTTAGTTGCTTCCAGCTTTTTAATGCTTTCAGTCAGCTTGTGGGCCTTTCGGTCAATATTCTGGTTTAGATGCCAATCTTCTCTTCGTTTTCGGCCACGATCGGGGTTCAGGACATTCCTTTTTTCCGGTTATCTATTCTTAAAGCTTTTGTTATTTTTTGTTTTATTCATCTCTCCAGAGATAATAAGTTAGTTAATCCTAGTTGACTGTAAGAGCCATTTTGTTTAGTTGATGATATAAATTGAAGTTTTGTAAAACATATTTTTGGTTGTAAACACCAAGTAAACCATAGTTTCTGGGGTGATTGTTGTCTTGAAATGCCTCATATTATTGACGGAAATTATTATGACGTGATTGCTTTATTCATGTGAATCGCTTTCCTTTTCGTATGTATCGAATAATCTACACACGAATGTTTCTAGCATGATTATCGCAACATCTGCGGATAGGAGAAACATAAACAAAGAAATTGACGGATTAATATTGATATATTTGACCTTATTATTGACACTTTCATAACACATATTGATATGAGTAATGTTTCGTCCTGGTATATGACTCGAGTGCGTGTCTACAATCCTACCAAGGATCAAATCTAGAAAATAAAAGATACAGTAGCATATATCATTAGTTAAAGGTATGTCTTCCAATGGTAGTCTTGACAGACTAAAAAATCTTTGTGTTTAATAAAGAACGTTCGTGTGCAGAGCGGTGAAAATTGTCCGGAAGATTTTGTGATGTTCTACGTTTCTTTCAGTCCTATAGGACTGATATTTTGTTGATCATAAATATTGGCTATCTACATGCAAGTTCTATGGAATGTATCAGAGGAACTACTCATCTGTTGCGTATACAAATGTCATTACTAAGCTCGTATTGATGAATTATTACTGTGCTGAAGGTCCTCACGAAACTGGATGTAATTCAAAATATTTAATGGAGGAGAGGTAGCAACATGAGCATTGTCAACATTTAGGGATAAATGCTTAAATGTAAAAACGATGTTATGGGTTTCACAGATCATGTGATTCGTAACTAATATTATTTCACTTTTAGGTATCATTACCAAGGTTTGACCTGATAATTTCGAATAAATTGAGTATTAGATATTTGTTATAAATAAATTAATATTTTTAATGTCCCAATGAGAAGAAAAATTAGATTTTCTGACATTTCCTGACTCAGTGTAAGCCAAATATATTAATTTATAATATTATTGCACTGTTTGGCTGATTATGACTTCTTTTGATCCTACGGTCTTAGGTCTTCCTTTTTTATTGTGAAACTAGACTTACGGTTTTGTACATATGATAGCTAAGCCGTTGCACCGATAATTTCTACCTTGGATTAGACCATATATTCTGAATTAGAAAGCACATTTGAGGCGGTGGTAAAAAAAGTTACCTGTTTTCAGTTAACAAACTAACCCTAACCATTCCTGTCAGATAATTCGAACGATATTTGGAGGATTACAGCACTTTTACATCATGATAATCGCTAAACACCATCATCGGGTACTACTAACACAAGGTACATGTTCTGACCGTTTTAATTCACGAAATAGTGCTCCCAACTGAACTACAACTTTTGATCCAATTCGTTTCGTTAACGAACTCACCAAATATGATAGTTTAAATATAACCGTTTTGCTGCTATTTATTGTGATTGAATGATAATTTTTTTAAATATTACTTGATTAAAGGTATTTATTGTAGCCTTGAATTGTTCACTTGAAAACCTGTTAGTACTAGACGGCCGTTTCGTCCTAGTATGGTCGCGCAAGATCATGGACCGATTCAAGCTAGACAATAACACCGTTGGATGCGTGTTCATTTTTCTAGAGGTTACGCGTTCGCACGTGGGGCTGGAAGTCCCGCGTGCGGGATCGTGGATCCGCCCTGCTGATGAGTCCCATACTTGGACGAGACGGCCGTCCAGGTTTTCAGTGGTGGTCTAACATTGATCGGTTCATGATCTCAATGAAAATATAGCTCACATTGTAAGCTCCAGATTAACCTTGTATACCCTTAAGTTCATGGGAGTTTTATTATTTATTTGATTAGACACATTCTCTTAAACCTGTAAAGATAATAGAAAGAACTAGTTTAACGCTGAAACAATTCATTACTTATAAATAAATTAGTACAGCTTTATGTAGAACGGATGAGTGATTTTTCAATAAAATGTTATCTTTCTACTTATTGGGCTTGCATAAATATTGCTTTTTCTTTTATAATTGGTACAGTTTTTCAAATGGTAACCAGAATTTTTGGCATAAAGCTGTCATTGATACAAAGGTATTGTTTTTAGAATTCTTATTTGTAAATAAAAGAATTTCTTTCGATCGGCCATGTAAGCTCTGAAACGAAAGAGAAACACGTCGACTTTTATAATTGTATACTAACGATCATCGACTACATAAAACTACCTGACAAGTTTGGGAGCTTTGATGTGAATGGTTTCCTTTTGTAATATTTCGTCCAGTCATACTCTGTCAATGTTGTTGACATGGAAATTTAAGTCTTATTGTTAGCTGAATGAAAAGCCTTTAATGCCTCAAATAATATCGTAGAATATGCTTCGGGAAATTCGCCTAATATATATGACCTTCGAAGTATATTATCTTGAAGTAGTTTTATCATAAAATATATTTCATCTTGTATTAATACGTCGCTTTAAAATTATCTTCTGAACCTTTTGGGAACAAGAATGACTGACTGATATTCCTGAGGAGTTTTGCTTCATTTTTTTCTTCGTGATGTGTGCTTCCATTCATCTGCACCGTTTCTCATATAGTTCTACTTCCGTAAAGTCTTATTACAATTGATAGACTTAAGCGTTACTTTCAAATCTTTTACTAAACACAGAAAACCGGGATATGTTAGTGTAACCGACTACACATTCGTTATTAAATCAAATATCTCACCAGATAAGGACTAAATGGGAAATCTTGATGGTGATGGTTATAAACTGAACCACTTCTCTCAAAAGTCGGTTCCAGATTATCTGCAGATGTTTCTACGTGAACTGCTAATAAACGTATACACTTTACACGAGTTGTATAGAATTAGGCTTTTGTGTGTCCAGCTAAGAAAACTACTTGCAACAGATGGGAAAATTCTTTTTAATAACTATTTGAGGAAATTACCACATACGATAATGTTGCAAGATAAATGAACGTTAACTGCTATTACGAAAATAAAGCATTTCTCATTAATTTTGTATCAAAATAAGGATGGTAAGATTGTTATTTGGATTGATGTCAGGATTGATTATCATAAAATCACACTTCCTACAACATAGCATAAAAATTTACATTTACCCGATTGTGATGAGGTTTCATATGGAATGTCATTGAGTTTCATGTATTCTTTTAATGGTATTATGCCTTCGTAACAAGATATGTCCGCAAAATATCCAACTGCAACTAAATATAAAATTCACTCGTTATAATCTCTTTAAAGCTGTAAGCAACCACAAATATTTAAGAGATCGAGAATCGAAAACTCGCTTAATTTCGTAACAAGAAATTATAGTATCATGAGTCAGGTACATAATATTGATTTGGTCGGTAAAGTGGTCCTTATAATCGAATTGATGCAGTTTTATATGTCGTATAAACATCAATTAAAATTAACCAGAAGAAAATTACTGAACATACCGATAGTGTTTCCTAGAAAGGAAGGAAATCATTTTCCAGCTGAGGTACACTCACGAACTTTATACTTCCACCGCTCCTAAAATCTGTAAATGACAACCTCTTTTCATGTGCAAATTGTTTTTCAATAAATGTCTTCAACCGATCCAATACTAAACTTCTAACTCAATTATATTAGGCGCTTGTTGCAACATTATGCACAGCGTTTAGAAGTCTAAATTAGTTTATTTGGTTGCGTCAATTTGGCTTCTTACAATATGTTTGTTTATTTGTAATGAATGAATGGCTCTTAATATGTTCATTTTACGTCTTTAAGGGGAAAATGTGACCATGTACAATTAGATGCATTTCCTTTTATCCCACAGCACTCTCGAAGCTTTGGCGAAACTAGCTTTGATCTGATTCATCAAAGTTTGTTTGAGCAGTATAATCCATAGGATATCAGATGCGTATTGTAAGATCGAATTAACTGCAAGTACAATTGAGTAAGAACTTTACTTGGTTATTAATCGAATCGCATAGCAATATGTATATATGTACACACTTTTGGAGTAATTTTCATGCTCCAGTGATGAACAAACTACTGACCTTGATATGCGACATTTGCACATAAATTGTTTCAAAATAACCAACTTACCTTGTTGTGGAATCAGCTCTGGGCGTACTTGACGAATATTATTCAATATTCCAGTTAACTTCCGCTAAAAATGTAAAAACTACGTATTTTATTTTTTTAGGAGTCGTAAATGTCATTAACAACGATACCATTCATACTACTCATATAACCAAGAGTTTAGTGTTTGATTTAGTTTAACCGACAAATTTTAAAATATAACGTACTTCTCTTGCGACTACGTACGTTTACTTTAAACGTAACTAAAAATACAGTCCTATCACACTTCTAGGTTTACGCCAATTAATTTTGTCTGGTTTATATTTGTGGTACTTCATATAGAGATATCTTATTTTTCTTTTTGTAAAGGCTTATCTACATCTAACTATCTTTACTTAGGTCTCTGAAACCAACACGAAACTTTCCTGCATAGTTAAACTCAAGTATTTTAAAATACCAATGTGGGGTTGTGTCTTTAAGGACTCTTGAGTCCAGGTGGAACCATGGCCTAGTGATTGAACCACTGAGCTCCCAACCAGTAAGTGGTAGGTTCGAGCCCAAACCCACTTAATTCATTTTAGGTAGTTGAATAGCAACAGCGCACACAAACAGTATAGCACATATTCGAGTACGCAAGCGTGCACTTGGAAGATTGGCCACAACGGACCAGCTTCTTATTTTTCAGTAATCCGAGTGCCTTAATCTAACAGATATTATGATGAAGTTTTATCATCTTGACAGTAAGTAAAATCAATAGCATTTCATTCATATAAAGTTACGACGCTAAGTAAAGTTAGTCATTTAGCATCATCCTGTAGCAAACATATATGGTTTCACAACTCATCCATACTACGTAGATATTTTATTTCGTAAACCCAACAAAAGATTAAGACGGAAATTAATGAATTTGCCACTGTAAAAATACTGATAGTTCCGTTTTATACATTTTGTGTGGACTCAATATACTCTTCATGCCGTTAATTGCCTTACGTTGAAAAAATCTGGTTCATTATCACATGTAATCGAAATCAAAATATATGAACTGCTACCCCATCATCTATTCAACTCTCACGGTTAATTATAAAGTTTGGAAAGGTACTGGGTTCGAGTCTTGGAGTGAACATCAACTCGGATGCAGGTAGATTCAGCTGACGAGTTCTAAATGAGACGAGACACGTGTCCTCAACTCCAATATTAGCCAATATCCATCTCTGCTTACAATGCTTATGGCGATATCGAGGCAATCCGCACAGGATGCACATGTAACAATAAGAGACTTATTAATTGTAGTTCTGAACATCAGTGGAAACATCCGAACAACCAATACACAAATGAACTGCTACTTTTAATATACCTACATTGGTATATACCTTAAAATGACCAACAATCTGACTCTTAGTTTTCTCTGTTAAACTTACTTTAAAAGTATCGAGAACGTATTCGTCTTGATCCTGTGATAAAAAAAGAAATAGAAGTCTTGAAAATGCTTTCAACAGTTGAAAAATAGCCTACTGATAAATGCGACAATGTCATTGCCGAACTTTGTTAAAAAGGTTGGAGATAATCGTTTGACAGATTTTCTAACTACTAAAAATACATTAATTAGTTTTCACCAAATTAAATAACATAATGCAAGATTTGTTTCTGTTATGGAGAGTGATATGTAAATCCGATAGGCCTTCATTTAATAGGTTAATAATTGACCTACGAAATCCGAGTTTCATAATCAATTATGCTCTTAATAAATTTCGATGATGTTTGCTTTGCAGAAAAGATTACTCAAGTGTGTAACTTTGTCACGTAACACGGCTAGTGCTTTGATGACTGTTATTGTCTTACGAAGCTTGGCCGTTGAGATATTCCATCTGTAATGATGGTTTTGTGAAGGACCATTTCTAGGCCGTATTAATGTTATGAAGTTGAGGGATCAGACAGTGCAACTCAAGTAAATTATCTCTCATTATAACAGTTTAGGAAAAATGAGTGACCACATTTCGCATAATGTTAAATCCATTAAAATTCCGAAATTTTCGCAAATTCTAATTTATTTCTGCATGCACTTCTTAACTATGTATTGTTTTTAGACTGTCCAAAAAACTGCATGGGTTTTTGGTCTTTGAACCGCTTAGTAGTTGCGACACAAGAGTTAAACAATTTATGTTTAGAACCTGCGTGAAAGAAAACAAAAATTAATTACAACACAAAAGTATTTGAATATAACATATAAAACCTCACTTTTTATCTAAACAGATACCAAGTTTACTTTAGGTTGGTTGTCAGCTCTTTACCCTAGTAAGTTTACCGAAAGTTTCAATGTAATGAAAATCCATGTGTTTCATGGACATATATTCGATAGGGACTTCTCTAATTAATGGAAACCATCGGGATCTCGTTCGTTAAACTGTCTAGTTTATCACTGTTCTAAGTTCATTTCAGCACTTGTACGTGGTCAAAAGCTATATTTGTAGTTTTACATCTATGTGTTAATTTGTTGTCTTATGTACAAATAAATTTAAATCTACTTTCCACACTATCACAATAAATAATCCAGTAAGTGCAAAAAAATATCTATTAGTACTTTCATATCTGCTGTTGTCATTCAGCTGGCTAATGTCGTCAAACCCTTTCTATTGTTTAAGAGCATAGGAGGCAGGTTGAACCAAGACTGTGTATCGCTCAGTTCTCTTTGTTAATTTACTTTATGATCACTACATCCTCACTTCTCCAAATATATGGAATCGTTCAGATTTTACTAACTCTACATAGGAACATCTCAATACAAAGTATCAATGGGGAGATTATAGTATTATATCATACATTACTCCACCCAGGGGATTAGATGAAAAATTCGAGTTACATTTAATCTATGATTACTTCAATTAGCCTTTAGATGACAGGCGGAAACAATGACGTTTTGAAGAGTTAGGAATGATGATTCATTATCGAGTAATAGAGTGATTGGTGTACTTTTCTTATTGTTGGGACCCACATACATCAATCTACCGGGTCCTTAGTAGGTCAATAATGGCGTCTTAGATTCGATTACCAGCCACTAACTTTAATATGCTGTCACAAAAATTACCTAATTAGGGATGTGTGTTCCATTTCGGTTAAATATTGACACAAACTGTATTAACTCTACTTTAGGTGGACTGTGCACATTGTATGCAGGTTAACTCACTACTCGTCTGCAGGTATCTTTTGAGATTTAAAATACCATAGGTGGGAATGCTCGCTCTGAGTTTGTTTAAAACGTCAAGTATTTACTTTTGTTGGAAGTGGTTTCTTCGTTAATTTGCGTCGTACAATTTATTAGGAACATATTTTAACTGTCTACATTTGGTTTTTTAAGTGTTCAAACTCTGTTCTTAAAAATTTCCTCTACTAGAAGCACATCGAATGTTATGGAATTTCAATGATAAGAGAAGCTCATACTCAATTGGCATTTATTCGTTTATAAATTAAATAAGTGATTATTATGAGCATCATAGTTGCTTAGTTATCTAAATGTAGGTATGGAAAATAAACTGAGTTGCTGATTTTTAGCGGAACTGAATTTTTAAGCTGTTAGTAACATCTTCGTAAGACTTCCTGATAACAATATAATCAGTATCTTAACTTTGGTCATGTTAAATTTTGATAAAAGTATGAAGTTGAAGTAGCAAAAGTTCATCAAAAATTAGGGGATTTGTCCAAGAAACAATCTACTGCTTTAGAATTACGATTATCAGGATTTAGTGGGAAAGAAGGTAGTTAGCTTGGTTTTGATGTAGTCATAAATATGAGGGAACATATCACATTGGCCAACCATAATTTATATTCGTTTTCCCAATGTAGCTTACCCGCATGGACTCTTCTGCCAGATGTACGCTTAGTCTAATCACTTGACTTAGTAAGTCAAGTAACTTTTTCTCATCAGATTCATTTGAATCATAGTCTGATATGACTGTCGGTTCCATATCAAAAACCAATAGTTCATATGTGTGGTATATACGGTGGACGATGTTATCGATCGCACATAAGACACGATTATGAATCGTAGGAGCCAAGGAGTTTTCTGTGTACATTTCTTGAATGATGACTTTATCAAACTCACTGAAATGTCGATAGTCTTGAGCATCACAATGACTCTTATTTATCTGTTCAGAGTGACGATTCATGTAAGATTCTGTGATTTCTTCAGACTTAGCAATTACTCGAAAAACTTCCATCAAACTTCTAAAACTTGACTGGCTAACTCAGTGAGGACATTAGCGGAAATACCTCAATAATGTGTATCACGTGATAGGGATAAACCATCAAGAGACCTGTAATATGGTCCGGCGGGGTGAAACTGGATGTAAGCTTTTCATAAAATTCTATCGAACTGTGTCAAGTCTTAATGTGATTACTCACTTCCAACTTCATTGTTAGTTATGTGTGGTGAAATTTTTCCAACTAATACAACAGAGTACAGTACATTTGCCTAAATTAGTATGAGGATTCGATCATTAATTTCTTACTCGTCCGACAAACTCTTTCTGCTCGAGTGTTTGATAAAGAGAAACCAAATGAGACGAACCATCGTTGTTGCCCGTTCCCGACATAATTTATATGTGCGCACATTTTAGTAGCCATAGATAAATGGGCTAAAACACGTCCGACAAAATCCAAAGCACGTCTAGTGTCCAAAAGAGTCAAATTAGAAATCTAAGTATAAAAGTATAGACTATTCCTTCCATAACTTATGAGCGCTATTAAAAAGGATAGTGGTATTTCTCCTCGCTGAGTAAATTTCATTGTTTGATCATTTATTAAGTATCAAGACTACTGTTTTCAATTTAATTGAATTCATTTCAGTTAAATGGTTGTGGACGGGATAGAAGAAGCTTTCGCTTAACAGGCTTCCGTGTCTAGTAGCAGGTGATAACTAAATCTTCCAGGCAGGAACCATGCAACAAATCGCAAGAGTAAAACCGCGACAGACCCACCCGCACAACTTCCTCACAGTAGTGAAGGCACTACTGCGTAATTTCAACACGTACGTCTCGCCTAGTTCGATTACCAGTGATGTTTCGGATATTCTCAAGCGTGGAGATCTTACCGACCGATAAAGTTTAGAGAAACTATTTGAAAACGTTGAACTACAAAGTGACTCGGCGACAGAAATGTTGCTATGAATGCTATAGCTCGTTAGTCAACGGACATGTTACCATAGCATTCATCATGACCGTAAACGCTCCCAAACTCTTCAAAGGAGTTCTTCATGAAAGCGATCTGTCTATAGATCACGAGAGACAGATAACTCTGATTCGTGCTGATACTATAATGAGTATGGAAAAGGACAGTGGTATTTTTCTTCGCTGAGTAAATTTCATTGTTTTGATCTTTTATTACGTATCAAGACTACTGTTTTCGATTTATTTGAATTCATTTCAGTCAACGTATTCCACTAGAGTACCGTTTTTACCGTTCTCTCAATTAGTTTTGTCGTTGCCACTCTTGAGTACCTAATTTTCAATTGTATCTGTTAGCACTTTTGGTCCTAACAATCTACAGTTCTTCGCTTCTTGGTCATTGATTATTTTTTGTTTCTGAGTATCATCGCATCTCGTCCCTTTTTGAAAAGAACTCCTTTTAAATGACCGGACAGTGCAAAAAAAGAAGTTGACATTGTCCGGGTTGTCGTTCTACCGTTGAAAGCGGCATGCAGTGCGACGAGTGCAAAAGCTGGTACCACGAAGTTTGCACGAATTTAACGCCTGTGGCTTTCAAACGGTTCAGTAAGAAGGGTTGCGTCTGGCTTTGTCAACAGTGCTGTTCGGATGCAAACAACTTGCTAACCGAGACCATCTCACTGGTAAATGCTGCAAACAAGTATAGTGACAAGCGTGGTCGGGACACATCGGACAGTAATCGCTCTGTCGACACGCAAATTGGTGTGAAGCTAACCCAGGTGAGTTCGAAAACAGCTGACTCACACGGATTAAGGGAGGAAAAACAGTCTTCAAAGTGGTGTCTTAACTAAAAACTCAAGAAAAGAAGTTTCTTCTGTCCCCCGTCTTCTAAATGGTATCCAGCAAGAAACGCCTAGAAGCCACAATCGCAAGTCTCGATCGGTTTCTAGCGGGAAACATAACCTGACCTTCCAATTCGTCGATAACCCTCCAGAATCCAACGCTAGGCTTGACGCAAATGTTGTTTCTTCTCCCAGCACCGTTGACGAGTGGGTACAGGTTGTAGGGAAGAAACAACATAACGATATAAAAGGGAATCCTGCCCCCATAAAAGTAGTCGAGAAATCGAAGGCTGATCAGTGACAGATCAGCTATTTTTCATAGAATTAAGGAGAGTGAAAGCTCTGAACCAAAAACTTGTTTTGAGCATGACATTGTGCTGATAAAACAGCTACTTAATCAACTCGCCTCAAAATATCTCCGGAGTCACCTTGCTAAAGGTGTATAGACTAGGTAGTCTAGCGAACTTGAAGCCTAACCAATCCAGATTGCTTAAAGTAGTATTCAAATTTCCGAATGAACGCGACTTAATTTTACAGAATGGACATAATCTAAAGGGTTCAGGAGTTTTTATCCGCAAGGACTTGCAGTTGGCAGACCGTGTGAAAAGACGGGAAGCCGAGAAAGAACTACAACATAGGTTAGACGCTGGTGAAAAGGACATAAGAATTGTAAATTTTCGGGTTGTAAGGCTTAGACAGAGAATGATGCCCAAGCCACTCTGGGTGAAGCACGAAGCCACTTAAATAGGCTTCGGATCTGCTACACTAATGCCCGGAGCATACTTAATAAGCGATCGGAACTAGGTGTACAGATTGACTCTACAAAACCAGACATAATCGCAGTTACAGAAACCTGGCTGACACAGGCTACAGATAGTATGGAACTTGATTTCGAGGGTTTTACGTTGGTAAGGGCCGACAGAATACAAAAGCGTAAAGGAGGGGGAGTAGCTCTATTCATTAAGAATGCTATCTTATTTGCCATTATCGACAGTGTATCCCATGAGAGTGGGACGTGTGAATTAGTTAGTCTCCGTTTGAAATGCAAGGGACAAGAGCTGCTGATTGGTTTGTTCTATCGCAGTCCAAGCTGTGAGGTAAATGAAGTCCTGCTAAGCAGTCTCAATACTTGGTCACAAAGTGGTCGATGTCTAATCCTAGGGGACTTTAATGCACCTATGGTAGACTGGGAAAATCTGCGAACTGAATCGTCAGAAAATTCCTTCGAGCAGGAACTAGTTGGTGCGGTTATCACATGTGCCCTAGTGCAACATGTGAAAGAAGCGACTAGGTACGACCCGGACACTGAATCATCCTAACTAGATCTGATACTCACTCACTATGTGGATGACGTTGCGAACCTTCATTATATGCCACCCCTAGGTAAAAGTGACCACGCAGTTTCAATTTTCGACTTCCACATAACTGTCAGTCATAAGCACGGGTCAGCCCAATCCAGACCTAGCGTCTGGAAAGCAAACATACCAGATATAATGCACTCAGTATCGTTAGTAGATTGGACAATAAACCCAGAGTCCTCAATTGAAACGGCCTGGGATGCATTTTGAAATTCATACTTAAAAGTTACCACACCCCACATCCCTTGGAATATACGAAGGGGGCCGTGAAACTCTCCACCATGGTTCAGTAGGGAGGTCCGCATCCTTCTCAGTAAGAGAAGAAAAATGTGGGATAGATTTAGGTTACTGGGGACTGATGAGACAAAATCTCAGTATCGAAAAGCTCGGAATACCTATGCCTCAACCCTCCGTAAGTCTAGAAAGTTGTACGAAGAAAAAAGTGTTAAGGAATCCGCCGCCTGTAGTTCTTCCAGAGTTACTGCCGGTCCCAAGCCCGGGTAAAGGAGGAGGGTTGGGCATGGGGTTAGCGTCCCCGTCCTGTAGAAAACTAACTCGCTAAAAAAACGCTTACCAGAAAAAAATTATTCAAACCATTTAAACTCTGCCCTGAAAGTTAGAAGGTCTTCATTTAGGGGAACTATGACGCTTCACGGTGAAAGCCGAGTTCCTAAACGCTTGTATTCCCATATAAATCAAAGGGCAAAAGGAGAGGAAATATTCCTGCACTATGGGGAGACAGTACTGCCGCATCATTAGTCGAGGACGACTTTGGTAAGGCTCGTGTTCTCGAACTACTTTAGCAATGTATATACCATAGAAGCACCCTTGCCGTCACTTCATACAAATCCCCCCACACATACACTGGATAGCGTGACAATTAAAGAACTCGATGTCTTTGGTCTGTTAAATAAGCTAGACATACGTAAATCCACGGGGCTCGATGAATTGCATCCTGGGCTACTGAAGGAATTATCTAACTTCGTTGCGAACCCTTTAAGCATATGCTTTAATCTATCCGTCGTTTACCAAAAGACTGGAAGAACGCCATAGTAAGTCCTGTCTACGAAACATAAACCTGGGAATTACCGAGTCGTTAGCCTAACTAGTGTGGTTGTTAAAATCTTAGAAAAGACTATTCGGAAGGAGCTGTTTAAGTATCTCGATAAAAACCGGATCCTTTCGGAGGAGCAGCACGGTTTCAGAATAGGTTACTCTTGTCTCACTAACTTATTAGTGGCCCGTGAAAGCTGGTGCGCTCTTAAGGACCAAAAGTTACCTGTAGACGTAGCCTTCGTTCATTTCAGCAAAGCTTTTGACAAGGTTCCGCACAACCGGCTGTTACATAAGCTAAGAAATGTCGGGATCGGAGGCAATCTATTGATGTGGATAAAATACTTCCTATTTGGGCGCTAACAAAGAGTTCGGGTGAACTCAAAGTTATCTAGCTGGGAAACTGTGCTTAGTGGAGTGCCCCATGGTACAGTTTTGGGGCCAGTACTATTCCTCTTGTATGGAAATGACCTTCCTCGTCTCCTATCATCATCGGTCTTGCTGTGTGCTGATGATGTCAAGATATGGAGAACGATACGATATGAGGGTGATAGCTTAGAACTCCAAAATGACCTGCAGAAATTATCTGAATGGTCTCAAACCTGGCAGTTGCCGATAAATACTTCCAAGTGTGCTGTGATGCATATCGGTCATCAAGGTACAGATACATACACGATGAATAACACTGAGCTACCCGTCGTCCAGACACAATGACTTAGAAGTCATCGTTAGCCAAGATTTAAAGACTACTGCACAATGCAGCACAATAGCTGCCAAAGGTTTTAGAACTTTATGGTCAATACGTAGGGCTTTTAGACATGTCGACGCCAAAACGTTTTTGACTTTGTATACAGTGTTCGTACGTCCTGAACTTGAGTACTGCATACAAGCGGCTAGCCCCTGCTTAAAAAACGACAGTGAGCTTCTGGAAAAGGTTAGGAGAACGGCAACCAAGCTGATTCCCGGAATAGAGAAGCTTCCGTATGATGCTCGACTGGCCAAGCTAAACCTATTCCCGTTGTCATATCGTAGAACTAGAGGCGATTTGATTATAGTTTTCAAATTGCTTATTGCCAAATTCGCACCTGATATGCCCTCATTTTTCTTGTCTTCCAAAACAGAGAATTTACGAGGACACTCCGAAAAAGTTCACAAGCTCATCTGACTATCGACTTTCCCATCGAATCATCAACGAGTGGAA